TGGAGTGCCTTGCAGGTACACCCCCCCCCCCCCCCTCATCTCCTCAATTTTCCAGCCTAGAAGACATCATCCTTCGGCCCACTTTCAGATTCTGATCAAGCGGTAAGATCAATAGTGTACAACAGATTGGCATAAAACTCTTCTATAATTTGCATATTATAAAGGTTAGGATGTTTGCACATCCTTATCCACCTCAATACTTTGATGAGTTGCCCTATGTCGTCAGGCAGTCCAAGATTTTCCTCTTCTAGGTCATAGATGAAACCTCTCTATGAGTGAACACTCATGCCAGAAAACTGACCGGTGAAGCGCCAATGAGCTTTTCATTGTTGATAGAGATTTAAGTATCAGAATCCTCTGCATCAGAATAGCTTACCACCGGCATGAAATTATTTTTGGTGCATGTTGTGTACCTTTTTCCAGTCATTTTTGGTTCCATTGAGTGTTAGGGTTTGAGGGTGTTTTACAGGTATGGTATAATTTTTATGGAATTAAGGGGGATATCAGGGATAGATATTTTATGGAGGTGATATTCTTAGAAGAGAAAAGAAGCATCCAGGTTTTGAAATCAATGAGGGAATAAGAGTGGGTAGGTGGATGATACATGTTATAAACGGGGAAAGGGAAATGTTAGGATTCAAATCAAAACTGTTTGAGAGAGACGTAAGCGTTTAGGGTTACTGTGGATAGTGGTTTTCTTGATGCGGTTACCAACATGATTAGGCGTGGGAGAAAAAACAATTACTTCCCCCGTCCCAAATTAGTTGTCATACTTGACATTTTCACACAAATTAAGAAAATGTAATAAATGAAAGAGAGAGAGAGAGAGAATAAAGATTTTATCAAATCATCTTTATTAACTATTCGTATATTCAAATTAGCATTAATGCAAAGTGAGAAAATAATAAATTAAGAGTATTAGTTAGAGGATACAATTGGATGATGACAGTTAAAATTGCATTGGTAACTTAAAGTGACAAGTATTTTAAGACAAATAATTTTTCTAAATGTGACAAGTATTTTGGGACGGGGGAATAATTACTATGGTACAGTGCTGAAGTCATGCACAAGGCTCCAAGCTTGTCTGCATGTGATTTTCTCTCTCACGACTCTTCATTTTTTCATTTCTTTGAAATCTTTCCACTTTCAGCTCAGTCCTCCCTCCCCTTTTCATGCTTGCTAAACCAATTACAAGTTTCGTCATTTTTTATTACTTGTCACAGTCATGACACGTCTCATATGTCTCTCATCATCCATCTTTAATAACTCAACATAATCTACAAAATAAAATAAATAAAATAAACAAAACTACAAACTAATTAATATGGACAGTCTCCTAGTAGCACTATTTTAAAGTCTTTAAGCCTGACTTTCAACACAATCAATTTTAAGTAATGAAATTCAAAGTGACCCTTGTGTTGATAGAGGGTTCACCCAAGTAAGTCTTAACTCTTTGTCCATTCACCTTAAACTCTTCCTTACTTTTTTTTGCTCAATAAGTCCATTGTTCCATGAGGATAAATTCTTACAAGCTTAAATGGACCAGACCATTTAGACTTTAGCTTTCTTGAAAAGAGCTTAAGTCTAGAATTGAACAAAAATACTTGTTGACCAACTATAAATTATCTCTCCTAACAGTGTCTGTCATGTCATCTCTTAGTCTTTTCCTCATACAATTCAACATTCTCATATAAAAATAATCTATGCTCATCTAAGTCAATGAGGTGAAGTATTCCAGTTTGGCCAACATTTGTTAAATTAAAAGTCAATTTTTTTACAGTCCAAAATATCTTGTGCTCCAACTCAATTGGCAAATGACATGTCTTCTCATAAACAAGCCTATAAAGAGACATGTCTAAGGAAGTTTTATAGGCAGATATGTATGCCCACATAGCATTATCTAGGTGGTACTTTGTGATTATAATAATTTTTAAATAGTCAAATTAACAACATCTCTGTTATTTTAGTTATTTTAAGATCATTTAAATTAAAAATTAAATAAATATTTATTTTATTTACACTATTATATTTCAAATAAAACTAAATATTATGTTTAAAAAAATAAAAAAATTTGAACATTAATTAACATTCTTTTGGTGAGGTTGCAAATTAAAAAAAAAAACATATTTATGTTTTACATAAGAAAGTTGTGTATTCACCACCTATCATAACTATTTTATGTTTTCTTAATCAAAAATAAATATTTGCAGCATTTTTATGTAAAATAAATGCTAACAGTTTACAATTGAAAAAATGTTAACATCGAAAAATGCTAATCAGAATAAAATATTGTCCTTTGGTATTGTTTTGCAATTTAAAAAAAAGGTTAAATAAATTTTTGATATATTTAAATACCTCAAATTTATTTTAGTCTCTCTAAATTTTTTCTTTAAAGAATGATCCTCCTAAAAATTAAATTTTAACTTTTGGTCTTTCCTGACAAAATTGTAGCTAAAATAATCAATAATTTCGTCGCTAAATAAAAACTGTCACTAAATTATAAAAACCGTCGTTAAATTGCATGAGAGACAAAAAATTAAAAGTTAATTTTTTATGAAAATTATTCTTTAAAATTTTTTTTAAAGGAACTTAAAAACGAAATTTAAGATATTAAATGAATCAAAAACTTATTTAACCGTAAAAAAAACTTAATGTATATTAATATTCAAAATAAATTCATAAAAAATATAACTGTTCCATAAATACTTTATCAATATAATAATTTTTAAATAGTCAAATTAATAATATTTTAATTAATTTAACATCATTTAGATTGAAAATAAAATAAATATTATTATATTTAAAATAAAAATAAATTATTTGAAGTTCTTTTTCGAAGTATTTAAGTCTTCTTTTTATAAATACATTTGGTTAATAAATGTAACATCTTATAATACATTTTGGTCATATGGACTGATCTAATTCAATAATTATATAATTTAGCGATTCAAAATTGTAATTTTGCATTTTTTAACATAATTTTTTATCAATATAAATTTTATTATTAGTAATGTGAAGCGTATGTGCATTATAGTTTTGAAAAATTAAAGTAGATTAATGAATATATTATTAATTTATTTTATTAATAAATAAGAAAAAATAGGTGATGTATTTATAATATAAAAAAAAATTTATATTATCAATTAATTACGATTATAAATTCCATCAATTCAGATTGTAATTTACAAAAAAAAAGTTTATATAATGTGGTAAAATAATATATTTTTATTGAATGATAGTGTAAATTTTTTTTATATTTTAAAATTAATAAATAAATAATCTTAATAAATCTTATAATATTGATATAACATAATAATTATTTATTTAATTTCTAATATTAATAAAGATTAAATATATTACACAAAACTAACATATTTTAAAAATAAATATTTGTAACATTTTATCAATTTCAAAATGTTTTCCATTCATGCGTGCAACTTTCTCAAAATTTGATTAGTTATTTTTAGTTATCTCCTTTAGTGACATTACAAACGTAGAACACAAGAAAATTATTTAAATATCAAGTCATATTAAATTTTGACCAAATAAAATTTTAAGAAATAATTGACAACTTTACATTTATAAAGATCATCGTTTAATATTAAATCTCTTATATCTCTTATATATTTCATTTGAATTAAGATAAGTATTTATTTTCAAATTTAAATCATTCTAAACTCATCTTTATACTTCATTTATCCAGTATGAATGGAAAGAAAAAAACACAAAATAGTCTCCCATAAGCTTTAGAAGCAGAAGTTAAAAAATACATTAACAGAATATTTGTATTGGAAAAAACAATTAAAAATTTAATTATATATTTTTATTGAAATCAATACTAATAGATAATTTCTAACACAATATTTTTTTATTTATTTCTTAACTTATGCTTTTAGAACACAAATTAAAATTACCCAATAGTCTAAGATAGGCTAATATCCCTAAATATGACACAAAGTATGAGTATCTAACACCAGGAGTATATTAAGATTTACAATCACAATATATTTCATGTTTTATTGAATTCTCCAGGTAGCACATTAACCGAAGGAAGAAAATAATAGTGTAGCTAAGTTAACTTATCTGGCAGCATCTTGTGTTTGCTGGCTATCTTGAAAAAGACTTAATCTCATTAAGAATGGGTGGAAAAACTAAATTCCAGCTCAAATTCCAATGAGATAATATTGTACTCCCACAATCTCATTAATATATGAGTAATGTAGTATGTGTAAAATAAATTCATAACTATCATTATCAAATCTACTACTATTATATATATTTTTTACCATATTTCATTTAATTACAATTTGTTTTTTGATGTATATAAAAAGATAAAGTAACACTCATAATTGAAGGTACAGAAATATCATTTCTATATCTGGCTAGAATTATTATCCAACTATAGACTATTCATGTAAACCAAATTTAACCATCTTTGATTCAAATAAAGTTAAATCTCACTTCCTCTATCAATAGTGATTGTATGTCACTAGGCCAAATCCCACTCACCTCTTATAATAATCTTTGTCTTTTTCCTATTATTTTTTAAAAATTCCATTTTTCATAAATAAAAAAGGAAGTCTAATTTGGTGAGCAAAAGAAGTGTGTATAAGTTGTTGGAACAGGTCACCCATAATTTGTCCAATATACTTATTTATTGTCACCATTTCCTCATAAAGATAAAGTAGAACAAAAAGAAAGTGACATGTTCTAATTAATTTCCATGGCAACCTGGGAAATATCTTTTTCTTTCAATAAAATATTTATCCTTTGATTAATTAAAATTAAAAATTAATATTGTACTAGTTTATTTTCTTTGGTCCTTAAAAAGCAAAGGGCAAAAAAGATAACATAAAAGCCCACTCACAAACAGGAAACAAAAAAGAAAAAAGAAAACTCTTCATCATTTCATTTCAATACCAACAAAGCAAAAGAGAAAAAGATAGAAACAAAAGAGAGGAATTCTAGGAAGAAGAACAAGGGTTTCGTTGAAGAAGAAGATGAGTGAACAACAAAGTAACAGCAATAACCAGTTGGTAGTGCAGAATTCAGGGAGTTTAAGCTTCAGTAGTCACTTGTCGAAGGAAGATGAAGAGATGTCTAGGTCTGCTCTTTCAACTTTCAGGGCTAAAGAAGAAGAAATTGAAAAGAAGAAGATGGAAGTGAGAGAGAAAGTTCAGTTTCAGTTAGGTCGAGTTGAAGAAGAAACCAAACGTCTTGCTACAATTCGTGAGGTATTATTAATTTATCTTTCACTTTTTTTTCTTCTCTTCAGATTTAACTTTATTTTCATCTTGTTCCATTCAAATTTGAATTTTTTTTTTTTGGATAATTTTTGAAAACCGTTTTTGATATTATCTTCATCTACTTTTTTTTTTTGTTTTTTTTTTAATTTATTTTTAAATATTTAATTGACCGAACCATAGTACCAAAATTTAACGTTAAAATACGAGGAAGTATTTGTGGTGTTGGAATCTGGTGAACTCAAGAGTTTGTTGGCATAGTTTATTTCATTTAGTTAATTTAACTATTTATTTAATTATTTTTCGCAAAAATACTAATAACTTTGGGTTTTTTTTCTTGGATATTATTGTTAATTAATCAGGTTTTGTTGTAATAAGTAGATTAGTTGAGGCTTCAAGAACATCAAGAAAACTTGATTATACCGGATCTGTTGTTTTTTTTCTACAAACAGAGTGAATTTGTAGCCAAAAATAATTATCTATTTATTTTCCGCTGATAATAGAAAATAATTTAAAATTTGAAAACTCTTTATTCCTGTGTATTTGTTCTTGTCAGAAGCAGTATTAGTATATGAAACATATAATTACTAATATTCTGGTTTTTTAGAATTTTTTTTAGCCCTCAACTTTTATGTGTGTCTGCAATTTTGGTTTTATTTAATTGAAGAAATTGCAATTTTTTGTTTGTTATTTGAGGAATTTCAGGAGCTTGAAGCACTTGCGGATCCAATGAGAAAAGAAGTTTCAGTTGTTAGGAAGAGAATTGATTCAGTAAACAAAGAATTAAAGCCACTTGGTCTATCTTGCCAGAAGAAGGTGAGTTAAGTTAAAAATAATAATTTTAATTCGAACCTAAGACTTTGTTGCATGCCTATGACTGGGTTCGAACCTAAGACTTCTGATTAAACTGCGAAGACTATGGGCACAAAACTCTTGTTTAAGAGAATTTTATTAGAAATACCATCAAAATTGTAATTGGATTATTGATTATGTTACAGGAGAAAGAATACAAAGATGCTCTTGAAGCTTTTAATGATAAAAACAGAGAAAAAGTACAGTTAATTACTAAATTAATGGAGGTTAGTCTCAAATTCTTAATTGCATACCAATAATTTTGTTGATGTTGTTGCTATTAAATATTAATTGGTGTTAAATTGTGGATGTGATTGGTTAGTTGGTGAGTGAAAGTGAAAGATTGAGGATGAAGAAGCTGGAGGAGCTGAGTAAGAACATAGATTCAATGCAAATGCAATGATTTATTTGCCAACTGATGATTAGTGAATCTTGTGTGGTATATTGAAGATGATGACATAGTATTTTTATATGTATGGGGTGTCTTGTGATTTTGTAATTTTATATTTTAACTAGCATTTGATTGCTAATTTAGGAGGGTTATTATACCCTACAAAACAGGTTTGTAACTAAATATGTTGCATTTTTATTTACTTTTCAATGTTTTGTTCTTCTTATTTAATTTATTCATGTAATTTGAGGTTGACACAAATTTCTTATCATCTGTCTCTAAAAAAAGAGAATGTTTTCTATCCGTGTGATTGGTCATGGGAAACTCATGATGTAATTTATGGTTCATACATCTTTTAATTGTAATTTACATTAGAAAGTTGTTTTATGTGATCTACGATTTTTTTGTTCTGTTGGATTTTTTTCCAATTATTTTAGCTAAACCATGGTCAGTTAACTGCTAATTGCCTATGGTCAGTGAAACACTAATTGGGGTGCGAAGGTTAGAGACCCTATGGAACTACCATCCCCTAACAGTGGTCGAGTTCAACTATCTCATAACTTGGTGTTCACTTGAACCATAGAATTCAAAAACTTGATTCTGAGTCACAATATTCTCAAAATAAACCTAAAATTCTAAAGAGTTGCCCTGAAGCCGCATGTACAAGATCCCCATTAGTTTCCTTCATCTTCCAACACCCTCAATTTTTCCATAAGAACATACATTTCCTTTGCCATATTCCCATGCTTCCTTGGTCTTTGGAGCAAGATCGATCGTCAAGCCTACCAAAACCATAATTTCTTGCACATCTTATCACTAGAATTATAAAAATTAAGTGATTTTTTGACATAGACTTCAATAAAGTTTTTGCAGTTAATTTTGTCCATAACTTAATCCATGGAGAGAATCTGAACCTCGATAGAGAAATTGGTGAGAATGGACTTTATCTTTCTAATAGGCCTTGGATCATGTCTACAAGTCATATTAGTCCAAGCACTTTAATAATAGTCTCAATGTTGGTACTCTTATTATATCAATAAGGAGGGAGTTTTGGCCCCTCCCCCTCCAATGATATCACTTATGCATTTATTGTATTGATCTCATAATCATCGTTTGACCCTAAAGTAAGTAGAAGGGAATATGTACCTAGATCAGTCTCCTTCAAGACTTTTTTCCTTTTTACAAATACCTCATTAAGATCTCCCAATTAGAATATTTTCTCTTGTGATGACACATCTTTGGATGGTAAGATGTTGATAGTTTGGGAGTAGAAGGAGGTATAATTTAGCTGACAAAGCGAAGTAATTTCAAGGAGCAACCTTCTGAATCTTTGAGGATGTTCCCCAATTTGTCAATAGATGTATAAGGAGTAGAATTCTTAACGAATGGCCTTAGAGTGACACGATCGTGCGTGACAAGATCGTGCCATTACTGAAAAGCATAAACAGCACACATAAATTGGTAACACAGAAATTGTCAGTACTGAAAAGCATAAACAACACAAATCTGGGGACATACAAAGCCAGTGATAAAGTCCACTATAATAGTATCATTTTATAGATCCTACAACAAACATCCAGCTTACGACCTAATCACTTAATCATTACCCGTGCTAACTTTTTATCTAAGACTCACCTAGATATGAGGTCCTCCTCAATCTCTCGTTAATCTCAAACAACGATTGGATAAAAACATAGAAAGACACACTTCCATGACAACAAACTAGAAGACTCACTTTCATGATAATACCTAGCCAAGACACTTGACTAAGAACAACAACTTGGAGTTGCTTACAAGCTTTCTCCAAGAATATACTCAACTCATTACCTACAGGCTTCTGAGTAAGAACACAAACCAACTCTCCTATAGAGCGGCACAAAGACAGAGTCCTAATGATCTACATCTTGGACCCATGTTTTTTCTAGATTACAAATACTTCTATTTATAATCTATACCCAACTGAATTTGGACCTTCAACCACATCTCATCAGCTGTTACAAATCAGCAGCAATTTCTGCTACAAACAAGGTCTTCAATAATTAATTTCCTAAAATATCTCTATATCTAGAAATTACATAATCTTTAATATTCGGACTTAATTCTTCTTGACCTTTAAATCAGCGCCACATAAGATTGTATAACATTCCCAAAATATTTTACATCTGTTAAATTATAACAGAATCCAACTATTCATCTCAGCTCAGGCGCGATGTCGTATGACCCTGCATAGGACATCTTATCCGACATGTTGCTCTAGATGTTGAAATACTTCAACTCAACATATCCCAACATAAGATATGACTTCTTGCTCAATATATTCCTGTTTAAAAAGTTAACACGTCCTATCTAAAATATTGCTGCTATATTTGTTTTATTAAAATTAATGTCAATCATAAAAATAGAGAATTAACAATCTTTCCTTTTGACAAATTTTGGCTAAAATAAATAATAAAAATTACAACCCAGATTACAACAATAAACAAAAATATAATCCTTCAGCAGTAGTCTTCAGTAACTACTGAACATAACAACATAGCAATAAGGAGTCAGTCTTTACAAGCACAATGATGTTAGGACATCATATTCGACATCATCTTCAATAGAGGCTCCATTGCAATACACAAGCTTAACACCAACAAACAGTAACTTCAGGACAAAAGGAGTAGAAAGTCCTGAAGTCATTTGGTGTACATGAGAAAGAAGATAGCTTACACCCCCCTCAATCCAAGAACCTATTCTTGTCACAGATGAATAAGTTTTCCTTACAAATGGTGGCATAAGATAACCATGAAGCAACCATCCTTTCTCCCCCTTTTTGGCCAAAAATTGACAAAGAAGACCTTCATAAAACCAGACCAAGCACAACTCACTCAAAACTGAACAAAAGCCATAAGAATTATGGACACATCAAATACTCACATGGTGAAATAGGAAAGGAGAAACCTCTATAAATAGCTGAGCATTTACTTGGAAAATAATTATCCTTGAATGTAGCAATGATCTTGGTCAAAAGGAAACATTATTTGAGGAGAAACTGCCACAAAAAACAATGTACATCGTCCAAAACAGCTTTGAATACCTTTATTAGCTCTAGATTGTTTCTGCTGAGAAGAACCAATCCCAATACATGCACATACACATTCAAACACACGTTATACACTCCCTTCTGGCACATGTTTGATTAAACTGTCCACAAAAATCCTTTGTTGACCGCACATGAAACATGTCCTGAATAATGTTCTGGCATCCGGTCAGACATTGCATGCATAAACATTGGCTAACACATCTTAAGCCATATTGTCTTCCACTAGATTCTAAGTAATATCCTTTCACTTATACTTAGTGACACATTCCAAGACATCAGAATATCACATCTGTGACATCTCTCAATAATAGAGACCCTTAGAGATTCCTTTAAAAAAATTTATAGAGAAAAATAAATTCTCTTAGACTAAACCATTAAAAATTTGACAGATATGTGAACTTTTGACTGATCATCCAGCTTCACATGGCTAGAACCAACCATGCCTTGTCAAGATTACCAAAAACTGTATAATGTCACAACAAGATGTCTGACACCACACTCTCATAAGAGGCATAAGATCTCCATAAGCTTTAATAACACATGAACTAAACAATATATGTATCATTGCAGCAACAATCCACCAGCAATTAGATGACTCCCTCTGTTATGGATAACCAATGCTCCAGGTGAAGATGAAAACTTGAGCACTAGATGAAAACACATGAAAGACTTAATGCTTTCATGTTGAAGAACAACACTTTCCCACAAATGTTTGAACCATGACTCTCTAAATTGAGTCAAACCAGAGTCAGATACTCTCACTCCTTGAGAATACATCCAAGTACTATGACTCCTTCACAACACAATGACACATCTGATCACCGTACTTTCATAACCACACTCTATATCACAACCTTTTAAATAGGCAAGATGTCATGTATACTAGGTGTGAAGTCACTCACAATTTTTAGAACTTCTTAGTTTTCTTAAAAGCTTTACTAAGATCCAAATTATCAACACCCATCTGGAGTGACTTGCACAGAAAAAAAACACCTCCTCAAAATACTCCGCTCAGACATCAGTATCTGTCATCAGTCTTTTGCCCTTACATCCACTAGTAGTTACTGATACTAGTGGAGTCTTCAACAAAGTAGTCATACATTCACCAAGCATACTACTATAAATAGGATTAGACTCTCCACCTTGTAATCCACATAGTCATAAATTTCACTTCTGACAATAATGCTTGAGCATCCAACTTCACATGCACAATCCCAAGAAAAAAAAATACCATCAACGATCATGATGTTACAACATCATTTGGAAGATAAACTTCTTATTATAGAACCTAGTTTTATTGGTTATTAAATCACCATTAAAAGGAATCATTATGCAAAGAAATCCTTTAAGAAGCTCTCGATAGAACACAACCAGTGCAACTCATCCAAGTTTTTCCAAACACCTGAGTGCTCTGGAGAGAAATAAATTCTCACATACTCTCTAAAACACAATGTTTAGAATGTAGAATTCCATAAATCCCCAGAAAAATACTTAGTCTGCCGTCAAAGTATTCACCATCAGTATCATGCACACCTTCCTTAGAGGATAAACAAATACTCAGCTCCCATCAAAGTATTTAATATTTGTCTGATAAGGCTACCTTCTCACACTAGGCAGGATATTTGGTCTGACATCCTTCTACTGCATACATTTGGCACCAGTTGACGACATTCATTCACACCCCAAAAATATTCAAAATTAGGTCAGTGGCTTGACCTTAAACTCCACTCTGGATAACAACAAATTCCTTGGCTGAAGGAGTAAAACATACTTTGAAACGATGTTCCAATATCATATCCGACATCAATCTCAAACACATGAATTTCACCACTAACTATGGTCTGGAGGTACCATAGTAATCCAAAACTCTTGTAAGGGACACAAGATAATCAACCATCAGTAGTTGATCAATATTCAACACCATATC